GCCTGTGTTTCTGTTGCAGTCGGTCGGGGCTCCATGGCGGGAGGTGACACGTGATCTGATGTAGTTGCCAGCTCCTGAATCTCTCCCTGACGGCCTCCTTATGCCACACAGATGGGCTTAAATTGGGATTATGTGTTTTTAGTTATTTCTAAATTGATATTTTAAACACCGTTGTAAGTTTTGTGAATAGGCTGAAGACTACCCCTGAATCTCTCACGTGGTCCTTTGTGTGGTGGCCTCTGACTGTGGACCATTCGTGCTGACACTGCATGGCTCGCCGTGCCTGCGTGCTGGCTCCTTTTCCTCTGCGGAGTTGATAGGCCTCACCCCCTTGCACTAGGCAATGAGAGGGAAACCGTGTGGGAGAAGGATGGGCGCAAGAACGCATGCAGCACCAGAGCTTTGGATCAGATGGGAATGCCAGGAGTGTTTGTTCCTGACCCTCTACTCTTTCATGTCGCAGATTTTGAAGAAGCCAGGAAGTGGGTCTCCAACAAGTTAGTGTTTCAAAAAGACGTGGACGTCAACCTGTTTGAGAGCACAATCCGCATCCTGGGGGGGCTCCTGAGTGCCTACCACCTGTCTGGGGACGACCTCTTCCTGAAGAAAGCCGTGAGTGTCCTGGCGCCGGGCTGGCAGGTGCCCTGCAGGGAGATGAGGCTCGGGTGGTCAAGCAGCATGTCCTTGCTCGAGGGGCCCTGAGGGTGGAGGTTTCCTATTTTCCCTTCTCCAGTTCATTTCCATCTCTGTTTCTGTGGGGGTGTGAGCTGAGGCAGTACTGCTTACTGCCACCACAGCCAGCAGGAAAATCCGCTCAGAGCTGAGTGAGTCCAGCTCACTTCTGCTGCTTTGAGTGTTGGGGCCGCATGAAGCCAGCAAACTCATGTCTCTCCACTCAACTGGATGAAAATGGGTGACGGCTTTGCACCGTGAAACAAAGGCCACTGTGTGACAGGAAACATTGATTCCTCGCTGTGTTGTGTATCAGGAAGATTTTGGAAATCGCCTAATGCCTGCGTTCCAGACGCCCTCCAAGATTCCGTACTCCGATGTGAACATCGGCACTGGAGTGGCCCACCCGCCCCGCTGGACCTCTGACAGCACGGTGGCCGAGGTGACGAGCATTCAGCTGGAGTTCCGAGAGCTCTCTCGTCTCACGGGAGTAAAGAAATTTCAGGTACGGAGGGGCTGGGATTCTGGCTGGAACGGGGTTTCCTGTGGGAGCGCTCACTGCTCAGCGCAGTAAGTGCAGGTTTGTGTGGACATTGACCCTGGGCCAAGACCTGTGTCCTTTTTTAAAATTACTTGTTAGAGAATCCCATTTCCTCATTGGTAACAGGTGCACAGGCACGGAAGGCATTGGCTACAGGGTGAGTCCTCTGCCCCAGCCCTGCCCTGGTGCAGTCTGTGTCCTTAGGGCCCTGACAGAGCTGACAGCTTCTCATGCAGTGCCCTGTGTGGCCCTGAGTCCACCTGGCAGTATGTCTTGGGGCCTCCTCTGTGCCAGCGCACTGTAGGCCTCCTCTGTTAGGGCTGCGTGGTGTTGGATGTGGTGAGACGCTGGCATTTTCGTAGCCAGTTCTGTGCTGGTGACACTGCCGTCGTCCCGGCCGTCGGCCTCCCCTGGCGCTGTGGTGGCACCTGGAACGGGCAGTGGGGCTCAGGTGGGCGTCTGTCCTCGGTGGACCGCTGGGAGCGGCGTTGCTGTCTCGCGGGCACCCTGTGTGTGACGTGATGGGCGTATGGTATGTGGAGTGAAGGCAGGATCCACGTTTAGTTTTTCTAACTTGCTGCCCCGTTGCTGAAATGTTTCTGTGTGTTGATCCGTGGTGCCCCTTGGCAGTGTCGCTGTTCTCCTGGGTGAACTTCCAGTACGTGGAGGGTACTTCCAGACTGGGTATTCCATTCCATTGGTTTTTTCTTCTTTTTTTTTTTAAATTGAGGGCGAATTCACATATCAAGAAATTCTTCGTTTCCACATGTACTTTGCCGTGTACTCGCACGTCTGCCACCATCACTAGTCTAATTCCAGAACTATTTCATCACCCCAAAAAGAAAACAGGACCCATCCTCCCGTTCTCCGATGCCTTTACCCCTGGACCCACAAATGGCCTGTCTCTCTAGATTTCTCTATCCTGAACATTTGACATAAATGTAATCCTACGACATGGGCCGTGTGTGTCTGGCTTCTGTCACTGAGCGTGATGGTTTCAAGGCACATCCAGGTGTCAGAATCTCCTGTTTACGGCCACACAGTGTCCCGTTGTGTGGATGGGCCACACGTGTTATCCACTCATCAGCTGTAACGTTTCGGTGGTTTGTGACTCGGGGATGTTAAGAATAGAGCCCTGTAAACAGGTTCCAACAGGGCACAAGGTTCCACTTGTCCAGGGTCTCGCCAGCACTTGCTCTTTCCGTCTTTTCCATTGTAACCAGCCTAGTGGGTGTGTAATGGTGTCTCATTTAGGATTTGATTTGATAGTGGTGAATGATGGGCAGCACCTTCCCATGTGCCGATTGGCCTGTTTATCTTCTGTGTAGACATGTGTGCTCACGTCTCTTCATTGGTTGGAGAAGCCGTCTTTCTGTTGTTGAGTTGTAATGCCAAAACTCGGCATTTCTGCCATTTGCTCCTAAGACATCCGCCAGGCACCCACATGTTGCCGGGTCTCTACAGTTGCTGGAGACAAAGAGGAATAAAGCGGCCCCGCCTCGGAGGAAGCTGTAGATGGGTGTCGGTGGACGTGTCGGGTAGAGACCAGGAAATCAGTCAGGTGCAGGGTTCTGAGCGCTGAGATAAAACGTACACACAGCCTTGGGAGAACAGACACGTGGTGCTGCCCGGGCCATACAGGTGAGCTTGGAGGAGCTGAGGTTGGTTGGGTGTTGAAGGACGAATAGGAGTTCACCCGGTGGACGAGGAGTCCAGGCAGCTGATGTCTCTAGCAGCAACCCTGGGCTCGGAACCAGACGTGCCTGCCTTCCCTCCAGGAAGTGGAAGCAGGTGGCATCCCGGGCAGGAGGTCCTGAGGACCATGGCGGTGGTCTCAGATCCAGCCTTCTTTTAATGGGGGCTGGACTGTCGAGGGGGCGCGTTCAGCCCTGTCGTCAGGCCCGAGGCGGCCACATCTGAGTGAAGGGACCTGATTGCTGTGTGGTGTGGACCATTCTTCAGAAACCCCTGCCAGGTGCAGGTGGCTGACGGATGCCGTGGGCCAGGACCAGCCTTCTCTCCCCTCTGCTGGGAACCCTTCAGTCACGAGGGTGGCGGGACTCACGCAGCCCGTCTCTGCAGCTGGCCTGCAGCTCTGCGCCCCCCGCTCACCCGCACTCTGCCCTTGTCTGCCCCAGGATGCTGCAGAGGAGGTGGTGAGGCACATCCACTCCCTGTCTGGGAAGAAGGATGGGCTGGTGCCCATGTTCATCAACACGCACAGCGGCCTCTTCACCCACATGGGAGTGTTCACCTTGGGCGCCAGGGCCGACAGCTACTATGAGTACCTGCTGAAGCAGTGGATCCAGGGCGGGAAGAAGGAGACACAGTGAGGCCTGTTTCTGCTGCCTTGGGCGGGCTCCCTGGGGCTCCCCGAGGCTCTGCTTGTCCCAAGCTCCTGGGCAGAATCAGCGGCCCTGCCGGGCCCGGTCTTGGCCCCTCCGTGGGGAATGTGCAGGCTTTTTGCAGCAGACGGGGCCCAGACGGTCACGGCAGTCTGTGGCTTGTCAGCACCACACAGGGCTGGGGGTCCGGGTCTGGCCGCGGGGCCCCAGCTCACCCGCCGAGTTGTCTTCCTCAAGGCTGGGTAGGGGCAGCTCTGCTTCTCCGCTCCCCAGGAACACCTGGGCCTCCTTCCTCTTATTACTCTGTCACTAAAAACGTACGCTCTCCAGGTAGAGAACTGTACCTCAGTTCTGTACGATCAGAAAATACAAGTATCCCTCGTAAGGGAACTGGAATCGCCCAAAGTCTCAAGCCCAGGGATGACTGTGACCAGAAGCCCCGGGGCAGCTCCAGGCTGACCCCCATGGGCATGGATAAGGGCTTCACCATCTGGGCGGTTGTTCAGACAACCGAGGTGGACGTGTTGGGTCCTGGGGCTCCGCAGAGGCTGGTCTTGGCTGGTTAAGAGGAACAGGCCCTGTTGAGGGAGCAGGAGGCCCTGCCCTCTGCCCCAAGGGGCTGCCTTGCCCCAGGCCACCACGCCCAGGCTCAGTGGTGCGGCCCCAGACAGGGCCAGGCCTCGGGGCCTAGTGTGTGCGTGGCAGCTGCCAGTTATGCGTCTGTCCCCGGATAACTGGGGGCGGTGCACCGGCCTGGCCGGAGCAGACAGGGCCTGCTGGTCTGCACAGGTTACGGGAAGACTACCTTGAAGCCATCGAGGGAATCAAGAGGCACCTGCTGCGCAAATCCGAACCCGGGAAGCTCACCTTTGTGGGTGAGCTCGCCCATGGCCGCTTCAGCCCCAAGATGGTGAGCACGTGCCTGGTCCAGGTGGAGCCTGGGGGGACTTTGCACCGCACCCGTTTGTCCTTGTTCCTTCATGGCTCCATGAGTCTGGACTTGGGCGAGAACAATGACATTCTGGCGATGGAGTGTGAGCTGTCACAGGTAGACGCTGTCCCCGTGATGGCAGGGGGAGCTGAGGTCTGTGTCGTGCCACAGGCACCTCCCCCAGGGCCCCACCCCGCCCTCCTGCAGCCCGTGTTCCTTTGGTGTTTATGGGGCGGAGGGTCGGGGACGGCCTGTGTCAGCATTTGCTCCCTCGGAGGCGGGTGTCCTCCTGCCAGCATCTCCCCTGCCCACACTGATTCCAGTGCTTGGCCTGTAGTTCAGTCGCTGGTCATGCTCCTGCGCTGTGGACGTTAAGGACACCACTCAGGCCTGGTGGCTCCTGGGGATGTGGGAGGCCTGAGATAGCGCTGGACTCGGTGTTGAGGCTCGTGTGGCCTCAGGCTCAGCGGTGGTGAGGAGACCCTCTGATTTCAGGACCACCTGGTGTGCTTCCTGCCAGGGACGCTGGCCCTGGGCGCCCACCACGGCCTGCCCGCCGACCACATGGAGCTGGCCCGGGCCCTCATGGACACCTGCTACCAGATGAACCGTCAGATGGAGACAGGGCTGAGCCCCGAAATCGTACACTTCAACCTGTACCCCCAGAAGGCCCAAAAGGATGTGCAGGTCAAGGTGAGCTGGGGCCGGGGTCAGGGCCTGGGTGGGGGCACCACGGGGGCTCACCTGAGTCTGTCTTCTCCCCAGCCGGCCGACAGGCACAACCTGCTACGGCCCGAGACGGTGGAGAGCCTGTTCTACCTGTACCGCTTCACGGGGGACCGCAAGTACCAGGACTGGGGCTGGGAGCTCCTGCAGAGCTTCAACACGTACACGCGGGTGAGCCACGCTCGCTGCCCGTCAGCGTCCCCAGCTCCTCGCTGGTCACCGGCCGGGCGAGGGCGCTGGGATCGGGGAGGGGCGGGCCTGCTGTGGCCTCGAGGAGGCCCCACCCCAGCCCCACGGGCCCCACCTCAGCCTCTCCCTCAGAGTTGAGGGCACGTGTGACCCAGGGTCTTGGTGTCTGGGGTATCCCTCAGTCCTGTCTTGAGGGACCAGTGTGTGTGGAAAGGGTCCCTACAGTGGCCTGATGTGCACAGAGTGTGTCCCTCCTTGACCCTCTGTGTGGCATGGGCAGCACTTTCCACCCAGGGACGACCTCGGGACTACTGCTCCCCAGGATGGGTGCCGTGACCACAATGCCGCCCCCGCCATCTCAGGCCTGGCCATCCGTCTTACAGTCAGCGCCATGGCTCAGAGGATGTCATGCCCTGCCCAGGGCCCACCACCTGCCCTGGCAGAGCCAAGATAGACCTTTGCCCTGTGGTGTGTGAGGCGGTGGGTTCTGGACCCGTGGGGTGACCTCAGGGCCTTTGCGAGGCCTCTGCCGAGTTCTGGATGTGGCACTTTCCATCTGGTCACTTGAGCTGTCATCTCCAGGGGTCTCTGGAGGAACTGTGGCTGAGCTCCAGGGCCGCCAGTCCCCTTGTTGACCTTGGTGTCCTCCACCCCAGACCCTCTCCTGGGGCTGTACGTGGTGCAGTGAGGCAGGGGTTATGCCTCTGGCTGGTCCCCTCCCAAGGGCTGAGCCTGGGAGTGGGAAGCCAGCTGTGCCTGCAGCTGTGACGTTATGGCCTCGGCTCTTGTGCAGGTCCCCTCGGGCGGCTATTCTTCCATCAGCAACGTCCAGGATCCCCGCAGTCCGCAGCCCAGGGACAAGATGGAGAGCTTCTTCCTGGGGGAGACACTCAAGTACCTGTACCTGCTCTTCTCTGACGACCCGGACCTGCTCAGCCTGGACGCCTACGTGTTCAACACCGAGGCTCACCCACTGCCCATCTGGGCCCCTGCCTAGGCGGGATGACTCCTGAGTGGGCACCGCCCGGGGGTCTGACACGTCCTGTCGTCGAGGGCGCCTGTCAGCAGGACCTGGCCCTGGGAGATCCACCTCCTTTGACCTTGGCCGTGTGGTGTCCACCCAGCTGGCTGGACGTGCTCCAAGCCAGGCTGATGATGGAGGCCGGTGTGTGACTGGCCCGGGACGTCTGGGGGCCTCATGAGGTGCTCGGGGTGGCCACTGGGCAGCAGGTGGTCCTCCGCTGGCTCTGGGCTCCTTGTCTGTGGCTCTTATCAGGACACTGTTAGGAACAAGTCAGAAGAAATCAGTGCTGAGATTCAGGTGATCCTGTCCTGGGAGAGCCTCCTCCCTTCTTCCTGAGAAAACTGGAATCATGACTTACATTCCTGGAACCTGGACGTCCTCCTGTCAGCTGACACAGCGGCTTATTGGGGGTCCCGGAGCCTCTGGTTGTCTCCTGGGGCTGCTGTGGGTCCCCGGAGCCCACTTTCTATTCCAAGACAAGCTGGGAGGACGGCCGGGATGCAGCTCGGCCTTGGGGTGTCAGAGCCTGTGAATGTGCCCTGACCTGAGGGTCTCGGGCGTCTGTGATCTCATGGGTGTTCTGGCTCCTGGCCAGCTTGGTGTTTACACGTTGGACTCAGGGATCCTCCCCCAGCCCTGCAGGGGCTGGGAGGGGCTGGCAGGCAAGGTCATCCTGCTCACTGGCCTCCCTGATAGAGTGCACTTTTCGGTGACAATAAAAGTACATATACTGTAATTGTGACATTTCCCATGTTGGTAAATAGATCTCTTTTACTGTAAAACTTCTGTGTATAGATTGAGAGAAACCCATTCTTCTTTGGGTCACACCTCAAAATTCAGTCCACTAAGATTCAGGTTTCCATGCAGGATGATCCTTCCATCTTCAGTCTTTAAGTTAATTACACCCAGAACTTCCATGTTGTCATATAAGGTGACATTCACAGTTTGAGGAACAGGAAGTGGACATCCTATTCAGCCTACCTCAAAAACAGACAGATAGCAAAGTTGGAGTAGCAAATGATGAAGACTGGAGCAAAAGTCAATGAAATACAGAACTTAGGTGTAATATAAAAGATCAGCAAAGCCAAAGAAGAGGTAAAAAATGTCAGCAACATGGCAGAGTAGGCAGCTCCAAGCTCTCATTCCCCTCATGGAATCATCCAAAAACAAGCAGAACCATCACAACCAGCTTTCAACAAAAGGAAGAACAAAATCACAAGGAGAAAAAAAGGCCGGAAAGTATGGTCCACACAAAGGAACAAAATTAGTTGACAGAAACCATCCCTGAAGAAGTTCAGACATCAGAATTATTAGAAAAAGACTTTAAGATAACTGTCTTAAATATGCTCAAAGAGCTCAAAGAAAACACGCCCCTGGAACTAAAGTAAATCAGGAAAATGACGTATGAACGAAGTGAGACTATCAATAAAGAGAAATTATTAAAGGGAACCAAACAAAGTCTCATCCTGTAAAGTACAATAACTGAAATGAAAAATTCATTAGAGGATTTCAGTAGCAGATTTGAGCAGCAGAAGAAAGAATGAGTGAACTTGGAGATAAGAATATTGAAACTCTCTAACGTGAGGAGCAGAAAGAAAAAAGAAGGAAGAACACTGAACAGAGCCTCTGGGATCCCATTCTCAGTGGGAGCCACGTGTACATTATAGGAGTCTCAGAAAGAGAAGAGAGAAAAGGACAAAAAGAGTGTTCGAAAAAATATTATTGAAAACGTCCCAAATTTGATGAAAGAGATGAATCTACAAATCCAAGAAGCTTACTGAATTCCAAGTAGGATCAACTCAGAGACCCACACTAAGACACTTTAATAATCAAACTGTTGAAAGACAAAGAGAGAATCTTGAAAGCAGCAAGAGAGAAGTGACTTGTCATGTACAAGGGATCTTCAGTAAGAGTAACAGCCAACTTCTTATCAAAAAAAACCGTAGAGGCCAGAAGGCAAGGGAATGATATATTTAAAGTGATGAAAGAAAAAAGTTGTCAACCAAGAATTCTATAACCATGGGGTCGGCCCGGTGGTGCAAGCGGTTAAGAGCACGTGCTCCACTTCGGCGGCCCGGGGCTTGCAGGTTCGGATCCTGGGTGCGCACCAAAGCACCACTTGTCAAGCCATGCCGTGGCGGCGTCCCATATAAAGTAGAGGAAGATAGGTACAGATATTAGCCTAGGGTCAATCTTCCTCAGCAAAAACAGGAGGATTGGCATCAGATGTTAGCTCAGGGCTGGTCTTCCTCACAAAAAAAAAAAAAGGAAAGAATTCTATATCCAGGAAAACCAATCTTCAAAAAATGTGGGAGAATTTAAGACATTCCCAGATAAAGAAAATCTGAGGGAGCTTGTTGCCACTAGACCTGTCATGCACAAAATGCTAAAGGGAGTCCTTCAGATTGAAAGGAAAGGACACTAGATGGTAACTCAAAGCCATAGGGCGAAATAAAGACCTCCACTAAGGCAAAACCACAAGCAAGTATAAAAACCAGTATTCTTGTATTTTTGGCTGTAACTCCACCTTTCATTCCTTACAGGATTTAAAAGACAAATGCAAAAAAAATAATTACAAAGTTATGTTACTTGGCACACAATGTACAAAGATGTAATTTGTGATGACAACAACACGTAAGGGATGGGATAGAGCTGTTTAGAATCATAGTCATGTATGTTATTGAGAGAAGTTGGTGTCCATTTGAAGTAGATTGTTATAAATTTAAGATATTAAATGTAATCTCCATGGTAACCACAAAGAAAATATTCTTTGTGTGTGTGTGAGGAAGATTAGTCCTGAGCTAACATCAGATGCCAATTCTCCTCTTTTTGCTGAGGAAGATTGGTCCTGGGCTAACATCCGTGCCCATCTTCCTCTACTTATATGGGATGCTGCCACAGCATGGCTTGACAAGCGGTGCATCAGTCCACGCCTGGGATCTGAAGCTGCGAACCCGGGGCCGCCACAGTGGAGCATGCGAACTTAACTACTATGCCACCGGGCTGGCCCAAAGAAAATATTCTAAAAGATATACACAAAAGAAAATGAGAAGGGAATCAAAATGGTTCACTAAAAAAATGAAAAGGTAGTCATGGAGGAAATGAGAGACAAAAAGGCATAAGCTGTACAGAAAATAAATAGCAAAATGGCAGAAGTAAGTCCTTCTTCATCAGTAATTATTTTTTTTTATAATTTTATTTATTTTATTTTTTTCCCCCAAAGCCCCAGTAGATAGTTGTATGTCATAGCTGCACATTCTTCTAGTTGCTGTATGTGGGACACGGCCTCAGCATGGCTGGAGAAGCAGTGCGTCGGTGCACGCCTGGGATCCAAAACCAGGCCGCCAGCAGCGGAGCGCACACACTTAACCACTAAGCCACGGGGCCGGCCCAGTAATTACTTTAAATGCAAATGGATCAAGCTCTCCAATCAAAATCAGAGATTGGCAGAACTGATTCTAACAACCCAACATGATCCAACTGTGCTGCTAGGAGAGACTCCCTTTGGTTTCAAAGATACAAATTGACTGAAAATGAAAGGATGGAAAAAATATCCCATGCAAATAGTAACCAAAAGGGAACTTGGGTGGCTCTGCTAACACCAGACAAAATAGACTTTAAATCAAAAACTGTTACAAGAGATTAAGATATATGCAGATTATTTTATTTTATTTTTAATTTTTTGCTGAGAAAGATTTGCCCTGAGCTAACGTCTGTTGCAAATCTTCCCCTGTTTTGTATGTGGGTCACCACCACAGCATGGCCACTGACCAGTGGTGTAGGTCTGTGCCCCGGAACCAAACTTGGTGTGCCAAAACAAAGCGCACTGAACTTAACCACTAGGCCACGAGGACTGGCCCCAGATTATTTTATTTTTATTTTATCAAATAAACAAGAGGGTTTTTCCATGGGGAAAAAAAGAGATAAGGACACCATATATTGATGAAAGGATCAATTTATGAATAAGATATAACAGTTATAAACATATATGCACCAAACAAAAGAGTCCCATGATTTATGAAGCAAACACTGACAGAATTGAAGAGCGAAATAGACAACTCTACAGTAATAGTTGGAGACTTCAATTAATCACTTTCAATAATGGATAGAACATCTAGACAGAAGATCAATAAGGAAATAGAGGACTTGAATGACACTATACTAGAAGAAACTAACTAGACCTAACAGACATATACAGAACACTCCACCCAACAACAGCAGAATATACATTCTTCTCAAGTGCACATGGAACATTCTCCAGGATAGACCATACATTAGGCCACAAAACAAGTCTTAATATATGTTGAAAGACTGAAATAATACAAAGTATCTTCTAGTCACAATGGAATGAAGCTAGAAATTAGTAACAGAGAGAAAACTGGAAAATTCACAAATACATGGAAATTAAACAACACGCTCTCAACCAATGGATCAAAAAGGAAATCAGAAGGGAAATTAAAAAATACTTAGAGACGAGTGAAAATGAAAGCACCACATACAGGGTTTATGGGGTGCAGCAAAAGCTGTGCTCAGGTGTAAATTGAGAGCTTTAAGCAGCTACATTAAAGAAGAAGAGAGATCTCAAATCAACACCTAAACTTACACCTTGATGGGACTAGGAAAAGAAGAGCAAACTAAACCCAAAGCTTGCAGAAGGAAGGAATTTATAGAGTAGAATGGAGGTAAGAAAAATAGAGAATAGAAAAACAAGAGAGACAATCACAAAACAAAACTTTGGTGCTTTGAAAATATCCCAAAATTGACAAACCTTTAGCTAAACTAAGAAAGAAAAAAAGGAGAAGACACAAATAACTAAAATCAGAAATGTAAGTGGGGACATTACTACTGACCTTACAGATATAAGGATTATAAGAGAATAATATTAAAAAATTATATGCCAACAAATTTGATAATCTTGATAAAATGGACAAATTCCAAGAAATGCAAGAATTACCTAAACTAACTCAAGAAGATATAGAACATCTCAACAGACCTATAACAAATAAAGAGATTCACACAGACACACACACACACACACAAACCTCCCAACAAAGAAAAGCCCAGGACCAAATGGCTTCACTGGTGAATCTTACCAAACATTTAAAGAAGAATTAACACCAATCCTTCTCAAACTCTTCCAGAAAATTGAAGAGGAGGGAACACTTCCTAATTAATTCTGTGAGCCCAACATTACTCTGATACCAAAACCAGATAAAGATATCACAATAAAACAAAACTAAAAATCAATATTTCTTATGAATATTGATGCAAAAATCCTCAGCAAAATACTGACAAATCAAATCCAACAGCATATTAAAAGGATTTTACACCATGACCAAGTGGAATTTACCCCAGGAAGCGAGGGTGGTTCAATATAGGAAAATCAATCAATGTAACACACCACATTAATAGAACAAAGTGGGGAAACACACCATCTTTTCAGTTGACATAGAAAAAGTGTGTGACAAAAGCCAACACCCTTTCATGGTAGAAACACTCAGAAAATTAGGAATAGAAGGGAACTTCATCAATATGATAAACAGCATTTATGAAAAAGCTAACATCACATTCAATAGTGAAAGACAAAGCTTTTCCTCTGAGATCAAGAATAAGACAGGGATGCCTGCTTTCACCGCTGCTATTCAAAATTGCACTGGAAGTTCTAGACAGAGCACTTAGACAATAAAAAGAAGTAAAAGACATTCAAATTGGAAAGGAAGAAGTAAAACCGTCTCTGTTCACAGATGATATAGTCTTGTATATAGAAAATCCCAAAGAATTCATGAGAAAGCTATGAGAGCTAATAAGCAAAGGAAAGTTTCAGGGTACCAGATCAACAAACAGAATCAGTTATGTTTCTATGCATCTGCAATGAACAATACAAAAAGGAAATTAAGAAAGCAATTCCATTTAAAATAGCATCTAAAAGAATAAAATAACTAGGAATAAATTTAACCAAGGAGGTGATAATACTTGTACACTGAAAATTACAAAACATTGCTGAAAGAAATTAAAGAAGACAGAAATAAGTGGAAAGACATCCTTTGTTCATGGGTAGGAAGATTTCATTTTAAGATGTCAATACTACCCAAAGTGAGCTACAGATTCAATGCAATCCCTATCAAAATTCCAACAGCATATTTTGCAGAAATGGAAAAGTCTCCTCAAATCCCTGTGGAATTGCAAGGGGCCCCTTAAAGCCAAAATAATCTTGAAAAAGAAGAACGCAGTTGGAGGACACACATTTCCCAATTTCAAAACTTACTACAAAGGCACAGTATTCCAAACAGTCTGGTGCTGGCGTAAGGACAGACATATAGACCAATGGAACCAAAGTGAGAGTCCAGGAATAAACTCATACGTTTATGGCAAATTGACGTTTGCAAGGGTGGTGAATTTATTCAGTGGGGGAAAGAACTTTGTCTTCAACAGATGGTGCTGGGAAAACTGGATTTCCACAAGCAAAGAATGAAGATGGACCCCTACCTCACACCATATACAGAAAATTAACTCAAAATGGATCAATGACCTAAATATAAGGACTAAAACCACAAAACTCTTAGAAAAACACATAGGGGTAAATCCTCATAACCTTAGATTTGACTATGGATTCTTAGATAAGACTCCAAAAGTATAATCAAGAAAAGAAGAAATAGACCAACTGAACATCATCAAAATAAAAACTTGTGGGCACCAAAGGAGACTATCAACAGTGAAAAGGCAACCCACAGAAGAGGAGAAAATATATGTAAACTATGTATCTGATAAGGGATTATTATCCAGAATATATTTTTAAAAATCCTAAGACTCAACAATAAATAAGAAAAAAGCCCCCCAAAATACCTCCACAAATTCAACAACAGAAAACCTCCTAAAACTCAACAACAAATAAACAAAAAAATAAAAACGCCTTTCATAATGTTAAAAGGGTACATTATACATTATGTATAATTTAACGCACACAAATGGACGTGGCCGAGACTGCAAGTGCAGCACGGGTCAGAGCTGAGAGCACTGGGACCGACTTGGGGACACTCCCTGCCCATTAGAAAATGGGTAAAGGACCTGAGTTGACGTTTCCCCAAAGAAGATACACAAACGTCTGATAAGCACATGAAAAGATGCTCAACATCACTGACCATTAGGGAAATGCAAATTGAAGCCACAACGAGATCCCACCTCACACTACTGGGATGGCTCCTGTCAAACAACAGAAAACAAGTGCTGGCGACATTGCGGAGCAGTTGGAACCTTTGTGCTCCGTTGGTGGGAATGTAACGTGGTGCAGCCACCGTGGAAAACAGTTTGGTGGTTTTTCAAAAAATGAAACATATAATTACCATACCATCCAGCAATCCCCCCTCTGGGTATAGACCCCAAAGAATTGAAAGCAGGGTCTCAAGGAAATACGTGCTCATAGCAGCACTGTTCATAACTACAACGTGGAAGCAATCCAAGTGTCCACCAATGGATGAATGGATAAGCAAAATGTAGTCTATCCATACAATAGAATTTTACCTTTAAAAAGGAAGGAAATCCTGACACATGCTATGACACGGATGGGCCTTGAAGACATTATGCCAAGTGAAATAAGCCAGACACAGAAAGACAAATTCTGTATGATTCCACTCACATGAGGTATCCAGAACAGGCAAACTCAGAGAGAGAGTAGAAGGGAGGTTGCCAGGGGCTAGGGGAGGGGGTGGGGAGTGAGTGTGTGTTGGGTGAAGGGTTTCTGTTTGGGAAGATGAAATAGTCTTGGAAATACATAATGATGATGGTTGCACGGCATTGTGGATGTACTTAAAGCTGATGAATTTAAACATGGTTAAAAGAGTGTAATTTAATGCTCACACAAATGAACACGGCCATAACTGCAGGTGCAGCACGGCTCAGCTGAGAGCACTGGGATCGACTTGGGGACCACCCCTATTCCCCATCCCCACCCCGCTGTTGCTGGCAGCTTCGAGTCTGAAAGGGGCAGAGCAGGTGGTGGTGAGGGGCTGGGCCTGGCTCCCCAGATCTGCGTGCCGTGGAGGGGGGATCCGGCCCCAGCTTTGTCTCCAAAGTCACTGGCCTTGGGCAGTTGGAGAGAGGGCTTCTGGACCTCCAGACGTACCTGCACACTCAGGGCCACCAGGTGTGGCAGGACAGTCTCAGGGGGAATCAGAATGCACCTCTCTGGGCCTTCCCGGTGCCACCCCAGGCGTGGAGGAGCTGTCTGGAGAGTTTCAGGGGGGAACGTGGTGGGTCTGCAGTGGGGGGCTTGGGGTCAGTCACCTGAGCTGAGAGATGAGGGGACAGTAGTGGGGGCAGCCTGGGGGGGGCACCATCCAGGGGGAAGGGGCTGTGAGTCCTTGTGTCTTGTCCTGGCCCCCACCCTGCAGAGGCTGTGTGTGCCCTTTAAGGGCAGCTCTCTACTCGGACAGGCAGCCCTGGGTGTGGGGACGGGAACACAGGAACAGGGACATGGGAACCTGGGGACACAGAGATATGAGGATGGGGACACGGGGATGGGGACACAGAGGTTTGAGGATGGGGATACGGGGACACGGGTATAGGGACATGGGGACATGGGGACACAGAGATTTGAGGATGGGGACATGGGGACACAGGGACAGGGACAGGGGGACATTGGATAGGGACACGGGGACTTGGGGACACGGGGACAGGGACATGGAGATATGGGGACATGGGGTTGGGGACACAGGGATACGAGGACACGGGGACATGGGGACATGGAGATGGTGATAGGGGAAGACAGGAACAGGGACATAGGAACATGGGGACATACGGACATGGGGGTGGAGACATGAGGACACGGGGATGGGGACACGGGAATGGGGACATAGAGGGGGACATGAGGACACAGGGACAAGGGGACGAGGACAGGGGGACATGGGGATATGAGGGACATGAGGACATGGGGATGGGGATAGGGACTTTGGGGTGATTGTGTTGTGGCACTGAGTGACTGTGGGGTGACCACACCCATGGGGTGGTATGATGTGCTGGACAGTCATTGTCACCACGCTGGTTGCCACAGCAACAGTGTTGGGACAGTGTGAGGGGCAGCCAAAGGGCCAACTCAAGTGGTCAGTCCTCCCCACTGAGCCTCGGGCTGGTCTGGGGACGTGGGTTTCCTGGCTGCAGCCAGAGCCCAGGACCCCAGCCTGGGCGGTCCCAGCACCGGACAGACTGGGCCTGGGCAGAGACCGGGCTCACCCTGGCCAGGGACAGCCTTGGGAGTAGGGGCGGGTGACTCCCCTTCCATCTGCAGCCTGGGGCAGGGCGACCTCCCCACACTCGCTCTGGGCTGTGGTAGATGTGGCCCCACCTGTGGCTGAGCTGGCTGCTCGCCTCTGCTGGTCTGGCCCGTCACCCAGGCCCTGGACTGGACTCCAGGGGAAAGGTGGCCCCTTCCCTCCTCTGGGTACTGGCACCTCCCAGGCCTGTCTCAGGGAGGAGCCCGTGAACGGACTGGCCTGAGGGGGCGGGGAGAGGGTCCCAGCTCCCAGCAGGGGCCTTGGCCCCTTCCTCCTCCATTCCTGAGCTGCCCAATCCCCCAGGGGTACACCCCAAACTCCTGTCTGGGCTCCAAGGCCCCCCGCCCGCTCCCCTGGCGCAGCCCCACAGCCCTGTGCTATCCCTTGGACAGCCCTGTGCTCCTTTCTCAGGGCCACTGACCCTCTGCGTGGGAACCCCCGTCCCCAACCACCCCCATCTTCCCAAGCTTCCTTCCATCCCCCATCAGGGACCCTGCCCTGGAGAGCCACTCCTCCCCCGTGGGCTGTCTACAGGAGGACCCGGCCCAGAACATCGCTGTGTGGCCCTGAGGCTGGGAGGGGGCCTGGTAGGGAGCCGAGCACTTCTTGCCTGGGTGTGTGTGTGGTGGTGACACATCGCCCAGCGCCGGCCCCACAGGGCGGAGGGTGCGTGTGGCCACTGAGCGAGGACCAGCCTGGAGGACCCAGCGGGGAGGTGTGGGGCAGGGCTGGCACCAGGGCGACCCTCCTGCTCCCCGGGATCTCACTGTGCGCTGGGATCACGTCCTGCCCCAGCACCAGGTCCTGGAACCCTATGCGTGCTTCACATGTCCCCACGGCAACCGTCTCCGTGGTGACACACTGGGGGCCAGCAACCTATGGGAGGACCGGGAAACTAGGCTGGCTCTGCTCACTCACAGCCCCACCCAGACTGTCACGTGCGGGTGTCCCGCGAGTCATGTGACCCCGCTCACGTGACCCGCCACTGCCGGCAAAGCAGACATGAGCCCCCAGCCCCGGGCAGCCCTGCCCTGGGCCCTGGCCCTGCTGCTGGCACTGGGGCTGCGAGGCCTGGAGGCTGGGGGTGAGTGCGGACCCGCGGGGACCCTCCCCGCCATCCCCCGTGTCCCCCCGACCGCTGAGTATCGTGTCTCTCCAGCCCATAGAGCGACAGACCCCGACTTCCAGGAGCACTACTTTGAGCAGCTTCTGGACCATTTCAACTTCGAGAGGTTTGGCAACAAGACCTTCCGCCAGCGGTACCTGGTGTCAGGTGAGGTCGCCCTGGGGACCCCGGGACCCCGCGACCCCGGGGGGCCTGTCCCACGCCTCACCCACCCCCTGCCTGCCTCCAACAGAGAAGTTCTGGAAAAGGGGCGAGGGGCCCATCTTCTTCTACACCGGCAATGAGGGGGACGTGTGGTCCTTCGCCAACAACTCAGGCTTCATCCTGGAGCTGGCAGCACAGCAGGCGGCCCTGGTCATCTTTGCGGAGCACGTGGGTCCCCGGGCAGCGGGCTGCGGGCTCGGGGGCTGGGCGGGAGGCCGCGGAATCAGCGTCTGCCGTCGCCCGCCCACAGCGCTACTACGGAAAGTCGCTCCCGTTCGGCGAGTGGTCCACGCGGCGCGGGCACACGGAGCTGCTGACCGTGGAGCAGGCGCTGGCCGACTTTGCCAGGCTGCTCCGGGCGCTGCGGCGGGACCTCGGGGCCGTGGATGCCCCCGCCATCACCTTCGGCGGAAGGTGGGTGTCCCTGTGAGGAACAAGTGTGGAGTTGGCCCCAGGGCCAAACTTTCTGTGGGTCTTACATGCTTCAGGTCCTTCTTGGGGGCGCCCACGGGCTCTGGGGGGGGACGCGGGTGCTGGGGTGCAGGCCCGGCCCGGAGAGGCGGCCTGGGAAAGGCTGCCGCCAGAATCTCCCTGGGGCGGGTGTGCACTGCGGTGGGAGGGCCACGGACCTGACCCTGCGCCTCCGCCCAGCTACGGGGGGATGCTCAGCGCCTACATGAGGATAAAGTACCCCCATCTCGTGGCGGGGGCGCTGGCGGCCAGCGCACCCGTCCTAGCTGTGGCCGGCCTCGTCGACTCCCACCAGTTCTTCCGGGACGTCTCATTGGTGAGTGGGGGCTCCGGGGCGTGGGCCAGCCCGGGGCGTGGCGGCGGCTGCAGCCACAACCAGCCCTCTCTCCAGGACTTTGAGAGCCAGAGTCCCAAGTGTGCCCAGGGTGTGCGGGACGCGTTCCGGCAGATCAAGGACTTGTTCCTACAGGGAGGTGAGGGCTGCACACCCTCCTGCCGACCACCCCGCACCTCCCCCCCCCTCACCTGATGGCCACGCCTCACACACCCCGTCCCCCACCCCACATGCGGCGGCAGCCTCCAAACGCCCTTGTCCTCCCCCTCCTGGCAGCCTACGATACGGTCAGCCAGGAGTTCGGCACCTGCCAGCTGCTCTCTGACCCAAAGGACCTGACCCAGCTTTTTGGGTTCGCCCGGAACGCCTTCACCGTGCTGGCCATGATGGACTACCCGTACCCCGTCGACTTCCTAGGGCAGCTTCCTGCCAACCCCGTCAAGGCGAGGAGGCCTGCTCCCGGCGCAGGGAGAGGCGGGCTGGAGTCTGGGGAGGGCAGTGCCCCAAGCACAGAGATGGGCCCAGCTGCCCTGGGGTGGTCAGTGCCGGCCAGCCCTCCGCTCTGAGGGTCTCCCACCCACTCTGCAGCTTGGGACCAGGGAAGAGCAAGCGGGGAGGAGGGCTGCAGGCCGCAAGTGGGGGTCTCCTGCTGAGCACTCTGCCGGCACCCCCCAGGTCGGCTGCGACCGGCTGCTGAGTGAGAGCCAGAGGATCAAGGGGCTCCGAGCACTGGCGGGTGCGTCTGCCCCTCAGCCCTGGGCCACTGCCCAGTGTAGCGGCCCGACATCGGTGTGGGCGGGTGGGCCGAGGAGTAGGCGGGCGGCAGCCAGGTCCAGCGAGGGCCCTGTGGAGGCAGGGAGCAGAGATGACCCCACACAGTCCCTGGGGGAGGAAGTGGCCACACCCCCTCCTGGCCCAGCCGGGGGGTGCTGCTTCAAGGGGCCTCTGGGAGGTCCAGGCGGGGAGGCCCTGCTGGGAGGGGGAACTTCCAGTGGGCCCCCTCAGCAGCTAGGGCAGGAGCTGACAGCACAGACACCAAGGACCCCACTCCTCACTGGGCACACAGGCCCCCTCTGAAGGGGCAGGGTGGGTGTCCAGGTGCCTGGCCCCAGCCCCCCTCTCCTCCAGGGCTGGTGTACAACTCCTCAGGGACAGAGTCCTGCTACGACATCTACCAACAGTACCAGGCCTGCGCAGACCCCACGGGCTGTGGCTTGGGCCCCAACGCCAAGGCCTGGGACTACCAGGTATGGGGGTGCTGGGGGCCGGGACTGCCAGGGATAGAGGTGGTGGGGGCCTGGGACTACCAGGGATGGGACTGCTGGGGACCGGGGCTTGCCAGGGATGGGGCTGCTGGGGGCCGGGGCCTGCCAGGGATGGGGCGGCTGGGGGCCTGTGACTACCAGGGATGGGGTGGTAAGGGCCTGGGACTGCCAGGGATGGGGGAGCTGAATGAGGTGACCCACCCCACCAGCCTGACCACAGTGTGGGGCGTCCTGCAGGCCTGCACCGAGATCAACCTGACATTTTCCAGCAACAACGTGACGGACATCTTCCCCGAACTGCTGTTCACTGAGACCCTCCGCCAGCAGTACTGCCTGAACACGTGGGATGTGTGGCCCCGGCGGGACTGGCTGCAGACCAGCTTCGGGGGGGGCGGTGAGGCTCAAGGCAGGGGCTGGGGGGTTGCATCCTTACCTCTGCACTGAGCTGGCTCTGCCCCCCCACTCCCAGGGGCACAGCTGGGGTCTGATCTGCCCCACGGGTCACTAATCCAGGGTCCCCCGTCCCCACCACCGCTTGCTCTGTCCCTTTCAGACCTCAAAGCTGCCAGCAACATCATCTTCTCCAACGGTGACCTGGACCCCTGGGCAGGTGGTGGGGTGAGTCATGGCCCGGCAGCCACTGCCCCTGGGTGGGTCCTAGCACCCTTGGCTCTGACCCAGCTGTGGCCGTCAGTCTTCAATAGCGGTCCTGTCCAGGGTTTTCCCTCTGGGTTTGCCAGAATCTCACAAGAACTGATGTTGCCTTTGCTGATATCCACATCTCAGTTCTGTACCTCCTTCATTTTTGCTCCAATCTTCATTATTTCCTCTCCCTTTTTTGGTTCTTTTCCTGACTTCCTACTGTGAACTGACATCCGGCTCATTAATCTTCACCTCTCCTTTCTAACGGGACCATTCGAGGCTATGCAGTCACCTCAAGTTACTGCTTTAGCTGCGGCCCACAAGCAGGCTGCGCGGGGAGGGCTGAGGTGGGGCTGTGGCAGAGCGCACACCGCACACCTGACGGGAGCCTCCCTCCGTGGACACAGATCCAGAGTAACCTGAGCGCGTCTGTCCTCGCCATCACCATCCAGGGGGGAGCCCATCACCTAGACCTCAGGTGCAGACCTGACCCGGGAGGGGTTGCTGCATCAGGCCGGGGACAACAGCTGGATGTGGGCTGGAGGTGGCGTGAGGCTCCAGGTCTGCCTGCCCAGCTGAGGGTCCCCCATGCCTGCTCCTCAGAGCGTCCCACCCAGAAGACCCCGTGTCCGCTGTGGAGGCACGCAAGCTAGAGGCCAGCCTCATCGGTGAGTGGGTCAGGGCAGCCAGACATGAGCAGTGGCTGCAGCTGGCACAGCATGGGGGCCACAGAGCCTGAGGGGCGCTCCCCCAACGAGGACCAGAAAGGACAGCAGGGGAGTGTCTCGGGAGAGATTCCGGGGGCGAGGAGCCGCAGCCGATCTTCCTGAACCCGGAGCTCCGCCCAGGGTGGCCAGCCAGGCACCTTGCCCGGGGCAGAACAAATGTCTGGCATCCTGGCCAATCACCTCGTGTCCTGTCTGTGGTCTGCGCGGGAGAAGGGAGCCCGACATGGTGAATGTGTGGCACACAACCTCCTAAAATCAGCTGCACACTTAATAAAACAGAATCCTCAACCCCGTGGTTTGCTGTTTTGGGGTGACAGGGGCGGGGGGGGCCTTTCCCGTGGCCAGCTGACCTGCAACACCAAACACGAGAGGCTGCCGAGTGATTCCCTTCCACATCACCAATGCCACTGCCCCGAGCGTCCCTCCGGGGAGCCCCGCGGAGGGAATGTGGCTTTGCATCCCACCCCTCCTCCTAGTCCATCTGTTTGGGGCCAGGCTCCGGGGTGTGGGGTGCAGAATCTGCCTTTCTCGGCTGCCTCAGGCCCCACCGCCCAGCCGGATGTCCAGGTAGACACACTCGCTGTCCCAAGTCCTGCTGCACAGCTGCTGAGGAGGCTCCCAGGCTCCGAGGGGCCAGCAGGGAGCTCGACACGCCCTCCAGCAGATGGGGGCTTTGCAGGGCAGGCAGCTGGCAGCTGTGAGTGCTGGGACAGGAGGCCACTTCAGAGACAGGCCCTGCACACCTTTCCAGGCACAAGCCATGCGAGGTTGGGAGCCGGGCTGGGTGAGTCGAGGAAGACAGTGCAGGTGGGTGGCTGTGGGAAAGCAAGGGGCTGCCACCAGGCACCTGAGTGCCGGAAGGAGCAGGGAACGAGGACCAAAGCTCTGCCCGAGGCTGGGAGCCCAGCAGAGGCACGCCCAGCAGTAGGGGACACCCGGCTTCAGAGGGAAGAAGGATCTTCTAGAAATGAAGAGAGCAATGGGTGCCTCACACTTAACAAAGAGGGAGAGCGGAGCCTGTCCTACAAGGTCATCTGATCCTAGGAGGCAGGGGACCCCTCGCTTTCCCACAGCCGTGGCCTGGGTTTCTGTCTTCTCTCCAGAAAAGGGCCCTGGGTCAGTCCTAAGGGAGGGACCTGCAGGTTACACTGAAGGAGGCAGGGCAGAGTACAAGCCCACACCCGGAGGAGGAGGCGCGAGGCCCAGCTGCGCCACACGCCAGAGGAGAAGCGCACAGAGCAGGTGCAGGTGCGACCCCACCGTGCCACAGCACCTGCACAGCCTCCCATCCTCACCACCACTCTGGGCCCCACAGGGCCCAGGGCCTGCCCCGTGGGTCCCACGACACTTCCAAAGTCCCCTGCATGCCAGTGAGGGCAGGAGTCCTGACCTCAGTGGACAGGATGTGAGGCCTGACCCAACCACAGCTCCCCCAGGGCCATCCACGGGTTCCAGAAAATACTCGCTTACACACACGGGAAACACCACAGTTAGAGCAAATCTACTTTATCCCGATTGAGAAGTCCATTCTATCGGGGTGGGTGGGGAGCAGGACGAACTTGCTCCCCAGCCCCTCCCAGCCCTTGCAACGGGGGGAGGATCCCTGAGTCCAACGTGTAAACACCAAGCTGGCCAGGAGCCAAAACGCCCATGAGATCACAGACGCCCGAGACCCTCGTGTCAGGGTACGTTCACAGGCTCTGACACCCAAAGGCTGAGCTGCATCCTGGCCGTCCCCTCAGCTTGTCTCAGAACAGAACATGGGCTCCGGGGACCCACAGCAGCCCCAGGAGGCAACCAGAGGCCCCAGGACCCCCACGAAGCCCCTGTGTCGGGTGACGGGAGGACGTCCAGGTTCCAGGAATGTAAGTCACGATTTGAATTTCCTCAGGAAGAAGGAAGGAGGCTCTCCCAGGACAGGACCACCTGAATCTCAGCACTGATTTCTTCTGACTTGTTCCTAACAGTGTCCTGATAAGAGCCACAGACAAGGAGCCCAGAGCCAGCGGAGGACCACCTGCTGCCCAGTGGCCACCCCGAGCACCTCATGAGGCCCCCAGACGTCCCGGGCCAGTCACACACCGGCCTCCATCATCAGCCTGGCTTGGAGCACGTCCAGCCAGCTGGGTGGACACCACACGGCCAAGGTCAAAGGAGGTGGATCTCCCAGGGCCAGGTCCTGCTGACAGGCGCCCTCGACGACAGGACGTGTCAGACCCCCGGGCGGTGCCCACTCAGGAGTCATCCCGCCTAGGCAGGGGCCCAGATGGGCAGTGGGTGAGCCTCGGTGTTGAACACGTAGGCGTCCAGGCTGAGCAGGTCCGGGTCGTCAGAGAAGAGCAGGTACAGGTACTTGAGTGTCTCCCCCAGGAAGAAGCTCTCCATCTTGTCCCTGGGCTGCGGACTGCGGGGATCCTGGACGTTGCTGATGGAAGAATAGCCGCCCGAGGGGACCTGCACAAGAGCCGAGGCCACAACGTCACAGCTGCAGGCACAGCTGGCTTCCCACTCCCAGGCTCAGCCCTTGGGAGGGGACCAGCCAGAGGCATAACCCCTGCCTCACTGCACCACGTACAGCCCCAGGAGAGGGTCTGGGGTGGAGGACACCAAGGTCAACAAGGGGACTGGCGGCCCTGGAGCTCAGCCACAGTTCCTCCAGAGACCCCTGGAGATGACAGCTCAAGTGACCAGATGGAAAGTGCCACATCCAGAACTCGGCAGAGGCCTCGCAAAGGCCCTGAGGTCACCCCACGGGTCCAGAACCCACCGCCTCACACACCACAGGGCAAAGGTCTATCTTGGCTCTGCCAGGGCAGGTGGTGGGCCCTGGGCAGGGCATGACATCCTCTGAGCCATGGCGCTGACTGTAAGACGGATGGCCAGGCCTGAGATGGCGGGGGCGGCATTGTGGTCACGGCACCCATCCTGGGGAGCAGTAGTCCCGAGGTCGTCCCTGGGTGGAAAGTGCTGCCCATGCCACACAGAGGGTCAAGGAGGGACACACTCTGTGCACATCAGGCCACTGTAGGGACCCTTTCCACACACACTGGTCCCTCAAGACAGGACTGAGGGATACCCCAGACACCAAGACCCTGGGTCACACGTGCCCTCAACTCTGAGGGAGAGGCTGAGGTGGGGCCCGTGGGGCTGGGGTGGGGCCTCCTCGAGGCCACAGCAGGCCCGCCCCTCCCCGATCCCAGCGCCCTCGCCCGGCCGGTGACCAGCGAGGAGCTGGGGACGCTGACGGGCAGCGAGCGTGGCTCACCCGCGTGTACGTGTTGAAGCTCTGCAGGAGCTCCCAGCCCCAGTCCTGGTACTTGCGGTCCCCCGTGAAGCGGTACAGGTAGAACAGGCTCTCCACCGTCTCGGGCCGTAGCAGGTTGTGCCTGTCGGCCAGCTGGGGAGAAGACAGACTCAGGTGAGCCCCCGTGGTGCCCCCACCCAGGCCCTGACCCCGGCCCCAGCTCACCTTGACCTGCACATCCTTTTGGGCCTTCTGGGGGTACAGGTTGAAGTGTACGATTTCGGGGCTCAGCCCTGTCTCCATCTGACGGTTCATCTGGTAGCAGGTGTCCATGAGGGCCCGGGCCAGCTCCATGTGGTCGGCGGGCAGGCCGTGGTGGGCGCCCAGGGCCAGCGTCCCTGGCAGGAAGCACACCAGGTGGTCCTGAAATCAGAGGGTCTCCTCACCACCGCTGAGCCTGAGGCCACACGAGCCTCAACACCGAGTCCAGCGCTATCTCAGGCCTCCCACATCCCCAGGAGCCACCAGGCCTGAGTGGTGTCCTTAACGTCCACAGCGCAGGAGCATGACCAGCGACTGAACTACAGGCCAAGCACTGGAATCAGTGTGGGCAGGGGAGATGCTGGCAGGAGGACACCCGCCTCCGAGGGAGCAAATGCTGACACAGGCCGTCCCCGACCCTCCGCCCCATAAACACCAAAGGAACACGGGCTGCAGGAGGGCGGGGTGGGGCCCTGGGGGAGGTGCCTGTGGCACGACACAGACCTCAGCTCCCCCTGCCATCACGGGGACAGCGTCTACCTGTGACAGCTCACACTCCATCGCCAGAATGTCATTGTTCTCGCCCAAGTCCAGACTCATGGAGCCATGAAGGAACAAGGACAAACGGGTGCGGTGCAAAGTCCCCCCAGGCTCCACCTGGACCAGGCACGTGCTCACCATCTTGGGGCTGAAGCGGCCATGGGCGAGCTCACCCACAAAGGTGAGCTTCCCGGGTTCGGATTTGCGCAGCAGGTGCCTCTTGATTCCCTCGACGGCTTCAAGGTAGTCTTCCCGTAACCTGTGCAGACCAGCAGGCCCTGTCTGCTCCGGCCAGGCCGGTGCACCGCCCCCAGTTATCCGGGGACAGACGCATAACTGGCAGCTGCCACGCACACACTAGGCCCCGAGGCCTGGCCCTGTCTGGGGCCGCACCACTGAGCCTGGGCGTGGTGGCCTGGGGCAAGGCAGCCCCTTGGGGCAGAGGGCAGGGCCTCCTGCTCCCTCAACAGGGCCTGTTCCTCTTAACCAGCCAAGACCAGCCTCTGCGGAGCCCCAGGACCCAACACGTCCACCTCGGTTGTCTGAACAACCGCCCAGATGGTGAAGCCCTTATCCATGCCCATGGGGGTCAGCCTGGAGCTGCCCCGGGGCTTCTGGTCACAGTCATCCCTGGGCTTGAGACTTTGGGCGATTCCAGTTCCCTTACGAGGGATACTTGTATTTTCTGATCGTACAGAACTGAGGTACAGTTCTCTACCTGGAGAGCGTACGTTTTTAGCGACAGAGTAATAAGAGGAAGGAGGCCCAGGTGTTCCTGGGGAGCGGAGAAGCAGAGCTGCCCCTACCCAGCCTTGAGGAAGACAACTCGGCGGGTGAGCTGGGGCCCCGCGGCCAGACCCGGACCCCCAGCCCTGTGTGGTGCTGACAAGCCACAGACTGCCGTGACCGTCTGGGCCCCGTCTGCTGCAAAAAGCCTGCACATTCCCCACGGAGGGGCCAAGACCGGGCCCGGCAGGGCCGCTGATTCTGCCCAGGAGCTTGGGACAAGCAGAGCCTCGGGGAGCCCCAGGGAGCCCGCCCAAGGCAGCAGAAACAGGCCTCACTGTGTCTCCTTCTTCCCGCCCTGGATCCACTGCTTCAGCAGGTACTCATAGTAGCTGTCGGCCCTGGCGCCCAAGGTGAACACTCCCATGTGGGTGAAGAGGCCGCTGTGCGTGTTGATGAACATGGGCACCAGCCCATCCTTCTTCCCAGACAGGGAGTGGATGTGCCTCACCACCTCCTCTGCAGCATCCTGGGGCAGACAAGGGCAGAGTGCGGGTGAGCGGGGGGCGCAGAGCTGCAGGCCAGCTGCAGAGACGGGCTGCGTGAGTCCCGCCACCCTCGTGACTGAAGGGTTCCCAGCAGAGGGGAGAGAAGGCTGGTCCTGGCCCACGGCATCCGTCAGCCACCTGCACCTGGCAGGGGTTTCTGAAGAATGGTCCACACCACACAGCAATCAGGTCCCTTCACTCAGATGTGGCCGCCTCGGGCCTGACGACAGGGCTGAACGCGCCCCCTCGACAGTCCAGCCCCCATTAAAAGAAGGCTGGATCTGAGACCACCGCCATGGTCCTCAGGACCTCCTGCCCGGGATGCCACCTGCTTCCACTTCCTGGAGGGAAGGCAGGCACGTCTGGTTCCGAGCCCAGGGTTGCTGCTAGAGACATCAGCTGCCTGGACTCCTCGTCCACCGGGTGAACTCCTATTCGTCCTTCAACACCCAACCAACCTCAGCTCCTCCAAGCTCACCTGTATGGCCCGGGCAGCACCACGTGTCTGTTCTCCCAAGGCTGTGTGTACGTTTTATCTCAGCGCTCAGAACCCTGCACCTGACTGATTTCCTGGTCTCTACCCGACACGTCCACCGACACCCATCTACAGCTTCCTCCGAGGCGGGGCCGCTTTATTCCTCTTTGTCTCCAGCAACTGTAGAGACCCGGCAACATGTGGGTGCCTGGCGGATGTCTTAGGAGCAAATGGCAGAAATGCCGAGTTTTGGCATTACAACTCAACAACAGAAAGACGGCTTCTCCAACCAATGAAGAGACGTGAGCACACATGTCTACACAGAAGATAAACAGGCCAATCGGCACATGGGAAGGTGCTGCCCATCATTCACCACTATCAAATCAAATCCTAAATGAGACACCATTACACACCCACTAGGCTGGTTACAATGGAAAAGACGGAAAGAGCAAGTGCTGGCGAGACCCTGGACAAGTGGAACCTTGTGCCCTGTTGGAACCTGTTTACAGGGCTCTATTCTTAACATCCCCGAGTCACAAACCACCGAAACGTTACAGCTGATGAGTGGATAACACGTGTGGCCCATCCACACAACGGGACACTGTGTGGCCGTAAACAGGAGATTCTGACACCTGGATGTGCCTTGAAACCATCACGCTCAGTGACAGAAGCCAGACACACACGGCCCATGTCGTAGGATTACATTTATGTCAAATGTTCAGGATAGAGAAATCTAGAGAGACAGGCCATTTGTGGGTCCAGGGGTAAAGGCATCGGAGAACGGGAGGATGGGTCCTGTTTTCTTTTTGGGGTGATGAAATAGTTCTGGAATTAGACTAGTGATGGTGGCAGACGTGCGAGTACACGGCAAAGTACATGTGGAAACGAAGAATTTCTTGATATGTGAATTCGCCCTCAATTTAAAAAAAAAAAGAAGAAAAAACCAATGGAATGGAATACCCAGTCTGGAAGTACCCTCCACGTACTGGAAGTTCACCCAGGAGAACAGCGACACTGCCAAGGGGCACCACGGATCAACACACAGAAACATTTCAGCAACGGGGCAGCAAGTTAGAAAAACTAAACGTGGATCCTGCCTTCACTCCACATACCATACGCCCATCACGTCACACACAGGGTGCCCGCGAGACAGCAACGCCGCTCCCAGCGGTCCACCGAGGACAGACGCCCACCTGAGCCCCACTGCCCGTTCCAGGTGCCACCACAGCGCCAGGGGAGGCCGACGGCCGGGACGACGGCAGTGTCACCAGCACAGAACTGGCTACGAAAATGCCAGCGTCTCACCACATCCAACACCACGCAGCCCTAACAGAGGAGGCCTACAGTGCGCTGGCACAGAGGAGGCCCCAAGACATACTGCCAGGTGGACTCAGGGCCACACAGGGCACTGCATGAGAAGCTGTCAGCTCTGTCAGGGCCCTAAGGACACAGACTGCACCAGGGCAGGGCTGGGGCAGAGGACTCACCCTGTAGCCAATGCCTTCCGTGCCTGTGCACCTGTTACCAATGAGGAAATGGGATTCTCTAACAAGTAATTTTAAAAAAGGACACAGGTCTTGGCCCAGGGTCAATGTCCACACAAACCTGCACTTACTGCGCTGAGCAGTGAGCGCTCCCACAGGAAACCCCGTTCCAGCCAGAATCCCAGCCCCTCCGTACCTGAAATTTCTTTACTCCCGTGAGACGAGAGAGCTCTCGGAACTCCAGCTGAATGCTCGTCACCTCGGCCACCGTGCTGTCAGAGGTCCAGCGGGGCGGGTGGGCCACTCCAGTGCCGATGTTCACATCGGAGTACGGAATCTTGGAGGGCGTCTGGAACGCAGGCATTAGGCGATTTCCAAAATCTTCCTGATACACAACACAGCGAGGAATCAATGTTTCCTGTCACACAGTGGCCTTTGTTTCACGGTGCAAAGCCGTCACCCATTTTCATCCAGTTGAGTGGAGAGACATGAGTTTGCTGGCTTCATGCGGCCCCAACACTCAAAGCAGCAGAAGTGAGCTGGACTCACTCAGCTCTGAGCGGATTTTCCTGCTGGCTGTGGTGGCAGTAAGCAGTACTGCCTCAGCTCACACCCCCACAGAAACAGAGATGGAAATGAACTGGAGAAGGGAAAATAGGAAACCTCCACCCTCAGGGCCCCTCGAGCAAGGACATGCTGCTTGACCACCCGAGCCTCATCTCCCTGCAGGGCACCTGCCAGCCCGGCGCCAGGACACTCACGGCTTTCTTCAGGAAGAGGTCGTCCCCAGACAGGTGGTAGGCACCCAGGAGCCCCCCCAGGATGCGGATTGTGCTCTCAAACAGGTTGACGTCCACGTCTCTCTGAAACACTAACTTCTTGGACACCCACTCCCTGGCTTCTTTAAATTCTGTGACATGAAACAGTAGAGGGTCAGGAACAAATAGTCCTGGCATTCCTGTGTGATCTGTCTCTCCTGGGTGTTAACTTGAAAAGCCTCAATACAAGTTTATTCAGGAGTAGCGAAAAGAATTATAATTCAGGATGTGCATGGTGAGCCACAGGCCAGCCTGGAGAGCAAGGAGGGAGCTGCATTTATAGAGAAACGGGGAGAGGGTGGCACTGCTCAAAAGGAAAGTCCATAGGGGGAGAAACAGATCAGGGCGGCAATGGCTTCTCATTGGCTGAGCTGCGGTGTTTCTCATTGGCTGACCTTAGGCATTTCTGATTGGCTGAGCTGAGGTGTTTCTGATTGGCTGAGCTGCGGTGTTTCTGATTGGCTGGGCTGTTGCTAAGTGGGGAGAGAAGTCTTCCCTCGGTAGTAAAGTAGTTGTTCTTCCTGTTTGGGGTGATTGACAAGGTGTGATGGGGCGAGTGCGCCCCCTGCAGGCCTTCCCTGTCCAGTTTAGCTGATGTTTCTGTTATTAATTTCCACATATGACCTTTTTGATCAAGATCTTTGTCTGAAAGCATCACTGATCAGCAGTCGGGTTCTCTGCAGGTAGTGGTCATGTCCCTCAGTGCCAGGAAGAACCTTTCCTGGTTATTGTCTCTTTTGTTGGAGGTCAAGTACATGGTGTTTGGAAACCATTTAGGCCACATTTGAGTAACAAGGAAGGTTAGGAGGGAGAACTCTCAGGCATTTCCCATCTAAAGTCTATGTTTCTCCAAGGTCTCAGGTATTGGAGATCATCTCGAAGTGCTGAGCCAGCATCACCTTATTGGGCACATCATTTTTACAGAAGTTTAACAGGCAATAGCTACCGAACTTCACAAGTATACAGAGTGAGATTAAGAGCAAAACCATAAGCCCAGTTTGCAGGACAGTTCTAAACCAGGAGCCCAGACCTGTAGGTAACCAGCTGAACAAATCAAAGGACTGTGGATTGTTAGGTGACATTTGTTGTAGCCAATGTGTGTGCTCTCTAATCTTCTGTAACTGGGTTTCTACTTCCCCAAAGGCATTTATCCACGTGCAACAGGAGGTGTTGCTTGGCAAGTAGTCAAGGGCTATGATTATCTCAAACTACCTTGAACGATGAGTTAAGGTAATTTCAGCTGAGCTGAAATTGCTTTCGCTGTGGAGTCGGCCGATTCTTCTAGTGTCAGGGAGAGCAATAACGTTTGTTTGTTAACACTCACTCTGATCCACAAGAAGAAAGCTCTTTCTTTGGAGGCAAACCCAGAGTCACATACACCTCCTGGGAGTTGTCATTTAGGGCAACTATGGAGACTCAGTGGGAGAGATCCGTGAAAGGTCTTTGGTTGTTCAGAGAACAGGACAGTGAATATGGCAAGGGCACGCTGTCCTTGTGTTCTCCCACTGTCAAGGCAATGAGTTGCTCAAGCATAAAGGCCATTACTGAAACCTCCACAGATGAAGATGTAACGAGGGGTGTACATAAGGCTCCCGCATAAGTGACATCATCTATAGACTCATTCATCAGCATAGAGGCGTTAGCATTATATAACCAAGGCTCAGACACTATGTTGTTATGTACCAAGAGGTTGCCTAGATACGTGGACGTGTTCAGAATTACATAAGTGACTCCATCTACATTGATGGTCCCACAAAAATTTTCATACAATTATTTAAAATATCTTGTCTTCTCCACCCAAGGCTGGGTCAAATTAAAGCAAGAAATGAGTTTAGGTGGACTTAGCACTCTGACTCAGTAAAACAGCAATTTAGACAAACAATGGTGTCTGGAATCCCAGTGAAATTACTTGCAGGGTGTACTAAGGGGTCGTTACTGTCTTGGCCAGACCAAGATTTCTGATGGCAAATCCAGCAATTAGCGAGGTTTCTCCCTTTTGCGAGGGATTGGGAAATGCAGACAAGAGCACTGTCCTTCAGGAAAGAGAGAGAGAAAATAGAGCGAGAAACAACAGTGGGAAGAGGGTGTACAGGGCTGGTCCAGTCCTCTTGGGAAAGCTGCCTGCCTCAGATGTTGGCTGCTTCAGATCCCGGTGAGTTTTCTCTTCAGATCACTGGAGGGAGTGCAGGTCCACTCAGGGTTTGGTGCCTTCTTTACGTGTGACACGGGGTTCCAGGAGTCCACTCCCTGGAGTCTGGCAGCACAAGGGTTAGTCAGCAGCCCTTCCAGTGAGGCTGGAGAGAATCCTTTCGGAGGTGTCTTTTCCAGTAAACAAAATCTTCAGGTTGGAGAGTGTGATGCTTAAGGCCTTCATCTCCTGCGAGTGCACCATGAAAAGATTGCTCTACAAAAGTGTGGTTATTTTTAACAGAAGCAATTAGGGCTTTACGATACTGAACTTTGTCTCCCTATACCGAGGGTCGAGAGAAGCAGGTGCCAAGTGTACTGGGTGATCTGCGATCATTTCAAAGGCTGAGAGTTTATGAGTTCCTGAGATTTAGGAGGACCAATGGAAGTGCTTTTGGCCAGGGTGTCTGAAGGGTTTCTACAAACTTTGCTTATTGAGTCTTAACACTGTTAGTACGTTTGACCAGCCCAGGGGATTGAGGATGATCAGCACAGTGAAAACGCTGCAGAGCTGGCCAAACAGCACAGACCTGTCAAAGCACTTGACCTGTGAAATGAGTTTCTGGGTCACTACGATATTTGAGGGGGGCTCCCTCGGTGGGGATAAACTCTTCTAACAGAATTTTAGCCACAGAAGAAGTAGCCAGTCTACAAAGGAAAGCTTCAGTCCAGTGAGAAAAGATACAGACCATGACCGAGACATATTTATATCCATGAGACAAGAAGAGCTGTATAAAATCCATTTACCATTCGAATGGTCCATTGGGCAATTTAAAGTATCTGGGAACCGTGTGGACAGGTTTTCCTGAATTGTATTTTGGGCAGGTGGGGAAAACGAATAGGTACTTTTTGCAACTTTATTAATATTTTCCCAGCAGCATTGGTGCATAAAGCTTACCATGGTTTTTCTGCGGACCAATGCTTCAGGGCATGTACAGTGGTTAGTAATGGGAAGTTTACAGTTTCTGGTGGGACTGGGTTGTTATTTGGCCCAAACCAGAGCCTTCTCTTTTCATCAAACCAACAATTGTTGAATTTCCAATTCTGTTTTTCCTTTTCAAAAGCCAATTGTTGGGCTTCTCTAGCCAGTTTTTCCAGGCTCTCATTCGGAGAAACATCCCTTTGGGCCATGACAACAGTTTTGCTGCTATTTGCTCCTTTAAGAGCAGCATTCTCTGCAGAAGTGTCAGCAAGGTGATCTCCCCTAGCCTCCAGAGGGTCACTTTTAGAATGCCCTCGGGTCTTAGTAATAGCTGAGGCAGCAGATAAGAGTATTGCATCCAGTAGTTCCCGAACATCAAGACTGTTTTTAATTTTATCGCCACTGGAAGTGAGGAAACCACATTGCTTCCACAGCATCCCCAAATCATGGGCTACCCTGAAAGTGTACCTGCTGTTAGCACAAATGTTGGCAGTCTTGCCTTTTGGCGGGGGTACAGGCCCACGTAAGTGCATATAATTCGGCTTATTGGGTCATAGTAGCCGAGGGCAAAGGTGCCACTCCAATCACATCAAAAGGCATTGATGTCGCCTATCCAGCACAATATTTACCATTGTCACTCTTTATTTTTTTTATAATTTTATTTATTTATTTTTCCCCCAAAGCCCCAGTAGATAGTTGTATGTCATAGCTGTACATCCTTCTAGTTACTGTATGTGGGACGCGGCCTCAGCATGGCCGGAGAAGCGGTGCGTCGGTGCGCGCCCGGGATCCGAACCCAGGCCGCCAGCAGCGGAGCGCGCGCACTTAACTGCTAAGCCACGGGGCCGGCCCTGTCACTCTTTAAATAAGACCCATCAGTAAGCCGTGAGATGTCAGCGTTACTTGGAGGAGTTTCTTGTAGGTGGTCATGGGGTCAGGAGGGGTCTGTCAGTGTTAGGCAGTCGTGGGGACCATCATCGGTAGCAGAAGAGAGAAGGGTGGCAGGGTTAAGGTTACTGCAGTGAGAAAGGGTTATGTGAGGAGCAGTTAGTAAGAGGATCTCATGAGAGGTGAGATGGCTGGCTGAAAGATGTTGCGTGTGGTGAGAGTTTAGGAGGGCCTCCACTGCATGGGGTACAAAATGCTTAAAGGGGATCCCACAACTATTTCCTTGCTGGCCTTAACCCAAAGGGCGGTGGCAGGAACGGCTCTAAGGCAGGGAGGGTCTCTTTGCACTACAGGGTCCAGTTGCCGGCTAGAGTACCAGCCAGTCGATGGTGGTGCCTGGGTTTTCCCGTAAGCACCTGAGGACACCTCCTTCCTTCTCATACACAAAGAGGAGAAAGGGGAGCTCACAGTGTGGGTGTCCAAAGGCAGGGGGGTTTATGAAGCTCTCCCTTAAGGCTTTGAAGGCTGTGCCATCCTGTTCTCTCCACAAGGTTGGGGAGATCAGGATTATTGTTTCCTATATTTTATGTTGGCCATAAAAGAAAAATTTGGAATCCAATTTCAGCAGTAGCCAGCCAGCCCACGACAACCTCATAGCTGACACTTAGTTTGCGGTTTGGGGAAGCTCAGGACACCAAGAAGCCTGTCTGGATCAGGGTGTAGCCCTCATTCTAAATACTGAACCGGGGTTTGGACAAACTGCAGTTTCTCCTTGGTGACCTTGTGTCTCTCTAGGGCTAAAAGCCTTAGTAAGTGGATGCTGTCTTCCTGGGAGGAGGCCTGAGAGGGAGAGCAAAGAAGCAAATCATCTACACACTGTAACAAAGCAGAACCTCTAAGAAACTGTGCATCATCCATATCTGCCTTCAGGATTTATGGAAAGGACACTCAGGAAAGCCCTGAGGCATCACCGTCCAGGTGAATTGCTTTCCTTCCCAAGTGAAAGTGAAGAGGAACTGGCTGTCCTCACCACCCAGACACTAAAGAACGTGCTGCACAGAGCAGTCGTGGTAAAGAGTTTGCTCTCAGGTGGGATAGAGGGCAGCAGCGTAGGAGGGCCTGGAACAACCGGGTGCTGAGGGATGACAATGTTATTGATCTCTTGGAGGTCCTGGACGATCTCCATCCACTGGGTTTTCTTACAGGGTAATCAGAGTGTGACAGGGACAGGTACAGGGGATAAGGGAGCCTTAGGCCTTACAATCTTCTATTACTGGCCCAATGCCCCAGAGAGCTTCTTTATTTATAGGGTATTGATTAATTTTAGACAAAGGCTTTGAAGGATTTGTTTTAATTTTGATAAGATGTGCACTATGGATTCTGCCAATATCAGTTGCAGACTTTGCCCATAAGCAGGGTCATAATTAATCTAATAGGGATCAATGGCTAGTGTCCTTAAAATTAGTTTTAATGTCGTCAGAGATGGAGCAAATAAGAGATGTTGAAGGGTCATTTAATTCACCTAGTTGGCCATTTTGGTTGCTGCTATCACTGCTGCTATCAAATTCTAGAATCCCACCCCACCCCCCTTTTTGGAGAGAGAAACACCAGCATGGTATTTCTCTAGGAAATCTCAGCCCAAAAGATGAATAGGAGTGGAGGAACTTAGGGGAAGAGCGTGAGAGTCCCTCAGAGGGCCCAAACAAAAGGGGGTGGTTTAGAGACAGGACTATTGGGGTTTGAGACCCCACTGTCTGAGCTATTCAGTTCTCCGAGGCAGGGGCTGTTTGATCACAGTGGGGTTGAGCACCAAGACTGTAGCTCTAGTGTCAATAAGTCCAGGGAAAGATTCATTCCCAATCTGGAGAGTGGTTTCCCCACGTTGATTAAGGGAAAGGATTGGGAAGAGCCGCTGTGGTTAATCAGAGCCCCGTCATTGGGGATCAGGAGGACATTGGAAGGATCAGTTGGGGGGCTGAGAACCCTTGGAGTTTCTTAGCTTGGGGCAGTCCTTTTCCCAATGTCCTGGCTTTTTACAGAAATGACAGAGACCAGAAAATTTCTGGTTCCATCCAGAGGCCTCCATTTGTTGGAGATGAACATTTAGGATTTTTGTGGTCTTTTATTCTAGTGAAATCATCTTGGATGCAAGCGAACTGATTTGCCAAATTTACCAAATCTGGAGTGGACGTGGTCTCCCACTCCTCTGAGTCCTCTTCACCAAGAAGGAAAGATCCCAGTTCAGCCCATTAAACAAATATAGAATTAAAAGCAACCCGAGTGGATTTAGCTTCCATGGGGAGGCCAGAATTTTCTTTGAAAGAGATCTGAAGTCAATTAAAATAGGCATGAACAGGTTCAGCAGGCTTTTGCACACAAGCCTGAATTTTGTTCCAATCGACAGGCTTGGGAAAGGCAACTGGGACTGCTTGGTGGAGTTTTCCAGGAAGTGTTCTAGCCTCTTGCCAAAAGTTAGCATTTATTTTTCTAAATCTCTTTCAGGATGTTACCATCGGGCAAGTTTCATCCAGTGTTGGGCCTGGCCTTCCCCAACAGGCACGTGAACTAGCCGATATAAATCTGAAAACCCCAGTTGGTAGGTCTGAATGAGTATGTTAAATTCATCAGCTAATCTAGAAGGGTCCTTTGTTGCCTTTGGTCATTATCAAAGGCTCACAATTCAGCTTTAGTCCAGGAAACATGAGGAACCTGAGGTTTTTTTAGATCCTTAGAAGGTTTAACTTTAAAAGGGAAGGTTCTAACGGGTTCAGAAGAAGGGGCAAGGGTAGGTTCAGAGGAGAAAGGAAGTTCGGCAAGAAAATTTGAGTGGGGGAGCAGAGAGTAGAGAAGAGGGGGGTGGTGCAGAAGGGACAGAGGAAGATGGCGATGGGGACAGAGACTGGGCATAAGAAAGCTGCTAGGGCAGAGCCTGAGACAAAGGAGTCTGGGGAGACAAACAAGATGGCCCCTGAGACAGAGGAAGGGGGAGGGGAGCAGGAGGCTTCAGAAACCATTTTGCTCTCCCTCAGTTTTTTAGTTGTTTCAGCTGATTTAGACAAAGTATGTTGTAGTGAGTCGATTTTAGAGCTTTGTGCATATCCAGATGCCTCCAGGCACCAATGAAAATAGACACACCATTCGTTTTACTTAATTTTAGAGCTGCGGTCTTCCAATTTGGTTTTAAGACAAGTGATTTTGGGGAGATCCAAAGTTCCCCATAATGGCCATTGCAACTCTGGACTGCTTTTGGTCTGTTTGACCCACTTAGTTAAAAATGCACATGTAGGGGGCCCAAAGTTCTTAAACATAAACTTGGCTGGGGTCCCTGAAGGAGGGCTGCCCTCAGAACATTTAGATGACTGGGATCCCATTTCTGAAATTTCCTCTGAAAACCCAAGGAAGTTGCTAGCGTCCTAGACCTGATCCCAAAAGGAATCTAAAAATAAAAGAAAGCTGCCGGATTCCCAGCCTTGATTCCAAAAGGAATCTGAAAACCAAAGAAAAACTGGATTCTCAGCAAGCTTGAGCCCCAGAAGGAACTGCGCTACGTTCAGAAAACAACTGAGAACTCACCGAGGACGACCCCTTGAACCCAAGGACAGAGGCTTGAACCTGGAGGACAAGGTCCCTCTCCTGAGATGACAAAGCCTCTCTGGATCCTGAGTAAAGTGCGAGACCCCAGACTGCAAGGAGAGCGGAGCTCAGAATCCAAGAGGAGACTCACCAAACCGAAAGCAGGCGACACCCCACAGAATGATGAGCACAAGGGGCCCAGTGTGGGTACCTCGTTTGATTCTGGGGGGTCACTGTTTCTCGAGGGTTGCATCCTTTGGAGCCCACTTTTCTGACACCAAATATATTAACTTGAAAAGCCTCAAAACAAGGCTTTTTTAATTCAAGAATAGCCAAAAGATTTGCAATTCAAGATGCACCTCCTATGGCAAACCATAGGCAAATCTAACAAACAACATAGGGAGCTGCTCTTATAGAGAAAAGGGGGAGAGGGAGAGGCTGCCCTAAAGGGAAGTCCATTCGGGGAGAGAAACAGATCAGGGCCGCAAAGGCTTCTCACGAGCCCAGCTGTGGCATTTCTGATTGGTTGAGCTGAGGAATTACTTATGGGCTGAGCTGCAGTGTCTCTGATTGGCTGAGCTGAGGCGTTTCTGATTGGCTGAGCTGAGGAATTACTTATGGG